GAGTGCTTGGAACCACTCATACGAGTTCTTCACAAAAATGAGTCAAGAAGTGGCTTGAAGTTCTACGGGAGGTGGGCTCCATTGCTAGTCCGCTAGGATGGTCAACAAGGGACTCCTAAGGCTAGATCCTAAGTTCTAAGAGTAGGAGACTAAGACCTCACAAAAATGAGGTCAACAGCAGAAAGGTGGGCATATTTCTTCTTAGGGGCATTTACATACATGCCATCCAATTCCTATGTATTTACATTTCTAACTTCTAAATTTTACATTTTACATTAATGGCACCCTAATCTTTCATATCAGCTAAAAAATGCCACTATTTTAACTTTTAGAAAGTTAAATATACTTTTTCATGCATAGGTAACATGGCATGTATGTAAAAATTGAAGTTTTTGTGTTAGATATGTAAATACATAGGGATTGAATTTTATGTATGTAAATCGTCCATTTTTTTAAATCAACCTTCATAACCAGCTCATTTGGCTTTATTAAATTATCTTCAAGTTTTTAATTTAATTATTCTCATATATATTTTGATTCTGAAAGCAAGCAGGCTATTTTATTTTAGGTTTTAGTTATTTGTCATCTATTTGTTCAGTCGATGGTATGTATATTCTTTTAATAAGAAGATTTGCATACGTACCACTCAACTCTTACGTATTTACATATCTAACAAGTAACACCTAACTTCAATTTTTACATGCATGCCACCTTCCATATTCATGAAAAGGTGTATTTCACTTTTTAAAAGTTAAAACAGAGGTATTTTTGATGTTATATGGAAGATTAGGTGGTATAAGTGTAAAAATTAATGTTTAGAGGTTAGATGTGTAAATGCATAAGAATTGTGTGGTATGTATGTAAATGGCCAGTATTATTATGCTTTCTTCTGTCCTAATTTGATGATACACTATCAGTCTCTCAGTTATTGCAAGGAGGAGGCCTTCTTTTTTTGGTCGCATATTACCAGTTCTCCTTTCTCTGGATCCCGAGATGTCCGTTATCAAAGGAGTACAAGTTCCTAGGGCTCACCATGCCTTGAAGAATGCTTTTATGGCATGTATGCAATGCACACATTCAAGTGCTGTACCGGTATTGTTTTGGCCTTTACAGGATGGCTATCCCATGTAAATAAATTTGGGAAATTTACATACATGGCACACAATTCTTATGTGTTTACATATCTCACAACTAAAGTCATTTTTATATTAATAGCACTTTGGTGCTTTAAACCTACATTGAAATGTGTATTTCACTTTTAAAAATTGGTAATAGTGTTATTTTGTGTTGTAATATTAAAGATTTGAGTGCTAAGTATGTAAACATGAAAGTTTAGGTGTGAGCTATGTGAATACAAAAGAATTGTGTGCTGTGTGTAAATGCTTCTATACATATTTGTTTGCAGGTACTCATGTGATATCTTCCTTCCTGTTTTATAAATATTTAACTTCAGCCTTGTTCTATTAGTAAATTTTTTTAGTAGTTTTGATACATATGAAACATATCCCCTTCAGACTAGCTTATGAATTTGGGTAGAATATACTTATTTTTTTGGTTATTTAATCACATTGCAGTACTATGCAAAATGCATTTGCCTTGCATTGCAATTTGGGACATTTACGTAAGTACCACATGATTCTTATATATTTACATATTTACATATCTGACACCTAAACTTTCAAATTTACATACATGCCACTCAAATCTTTGACCATATAAAAAAAATCAATATCGCTTATTTTTAAAAGTGAAAACACCTTTTCTTAAATAAGTATTTAATACTAAAGGGATATAAATGTAAATATCAAAATTTAGGAGTTACATTTGTAAATACATAAGAATTGTGTGGTATTGATGTAAATTTCCCTTGCAATTTTCATGTTGTATGGGTTAGGTATTTTTTGTCATTTCGTTTGCTATTTGATCAAGCTTTTGCATGATTCGTGAAGCTTCTCGTGTTAATAAACATGCTTGACTGTAGGTTTTTCTCATTATTTAGGTTCCAAACCATTTTAAGCTTATTTCTCAATAGGAGCCATCAATTTACTTGTTTAATTGCTCAAAGATCATGTTTTTTCCAAATTCTTATTTGATATTTTATTATTGAAGCTTGTTCCTATTACTTGCATTTTAACTTTAGGATGTAAGATGAAGTATATATGAATTGGTAAGAATTAATTTTTTTAGGGATATTTACATGCAAGCCAAACAGTTCTCATGTATTCATATTTCTAACACCTAAACATTCATATTTACATGCACACTACTTAAACATCACATGAAAAATACCATCATCACTATCGTTTTAAAAATGAAATACACCTTTTTCATGCATAGGTTTATGACTCCAAAATTTTTTAAGTTTAAATATTGGGTGTTAGATATGTAAATAAATAAGAATTTTGTGATATCTATGTAAATGCCCTTTTTTTTATTAACTCATATTGCATCTTTTTTTCTCTGTTCAATAATGATTAAATTTGTATTAAATAGTAGTGTTGAATCCAAAAGTGTCTTAAAACACACCCAAGGAATAGAACGTTCTACTAGGAAGTGATTATAGAGAGAGAGAGCACATTAGAGAACAATAAAAAAAAGTAGTCTTTATTTATGATATGAATCCCCTATTTATAGGCATAGGTCCCAATATTACAAAAGTTTATATTTGTCCCGTCATCATTGACTTTTCAGAGGTACTTTTTGGTAATTACAAAGTTATTAGCATATAATAAGACTGGGGGATCGATTCAATCGATAATAGTTTTTCGACCATCAGGTGAGCCTTGATTTGATCAATATCTAATACGAAAGTGAGCCATTTATCGATTATCCTGAGGGCTGATCCCCGCTCTACGAAAACCTCCTGGCATGCTCCTCCGATCGCTCGAACAAAATGCGTCCCTTGCCAACATCCAGCTCAAGACGGATCGTCAACAAATATACCCAATCATCAGTTTCATCCTCCTGAGCCGTTCATTTGCCTTGAGATTCGTGATGACATATTTTTATATGTACATATTTAGTTCCACGATTTTCTTGCTCCTCGGAAGCTGCACAGTACACGAGGATAGGAGGAATCTTTTTAACATGCATGAAATAATTAACTGACATTATTGCACAATAAAGGAATTACTTGTATTTCGTGCCCGAACCATTATTATTAGGCCTTGAGGTAGTAGAGTTTGCGCCATTTTCTTTTATTTTCGCTTCTTTAGTCTTCTATCTCTTCTTTTTCGTGGTTGCGATGTTTGATGAGGGAGCGTTATCAGTCGACAAGGGCGCCCTCCTTAAAACAATGACTGATATGCAGACGAAGGCTCGCAAACCCGACACAAAGCGGAAACCGGCAGGCGAGGCTTCTGCAGAAGAGTTGAGCAAGAAGAGAATTGTGCAGGGGTCGAGCGAGGGGTAACGAAGATTAAACTGGTTCTTCGGGTTTTTCTGTAGGTCCATCACGGGGGGGAGCTGAGGAGGAGTCTGTGATCATCTTTCGGGACACCAACTAGAGGCGGTCAATCTTGCTTAATGGGGAGGAATGTCCGTTCAGACTGCCGCGAGGACTATGAATCCCCAGGAGGTCGGGAAGGCTTCGACTGAAGCTAGAACTCAACCTTAGTCGCAAAAGGGTGGCTTTTCTTCCGTGGGTGGAGGACTAGAGGAGATCGGTGAGGACTTCGTCTCTCACATCACTTCTGAATGGTGTTGAGCTTTGGGTATGTATTTTGAATCATGCATTTAGTATTCCTTTTGCAGTTGCACGAGTTATGACGATCACTTCTACTTCCTCAGACACGGATGCCGACCTTGAGGGCAATGTGGCCTTTGTGGATTAGGCTGGGGAGAGGAGAGCGAATACTGAAGAGCAGGTTGCTTTAGAATAGGGGACCATGGAATAGGGCACCGTGGAGCTAGACTCTGTGACCCAAAGGTTAGGGGAGAATCCTCCGTCGGGTGGAGGTAGGAGCGTGGGCAATCAAGGTCCTCATGGTGTTGCGGTAGAGGAGGCGACACCTGAGGATGTCGGGTGTATGTCGACTTTTCAGTGCGCCACCTTGCTAAAATGGAGGAGCGCTTTTTTCGTCTCATAGTACAATCTCAAAGGATAGCGATGATGGAGTTGCTGAGGCATTGGAGCGAGTCGACCGGGTAGAGAAAGAAGTCGCTTCGTGAGGAACTTGCTCTTTTTTTAGGAGAGTTGCTGGTTGGTCGTAGGAAGATGGTTCAACTGTGTCAGGAGCTGTCAGTCGTTAAAGAGTGTTTTGCCTCCCAACTGAGGGCAGAATGACCTCTTTAAGCTGGGTGGCGAGTTTATGTACGGACGGTTGCATCAACGGGGGCTTGTCTTGGACAAAGCCACAAACGACCTCCTAGTTCGGTTTTTCTTCTTTTAGCTGTATCCGAGGGTGTGGTGTGATGCTCCCTCATTCTATAAATAAATAAATAAATAAAATGCAAAGTTTCTATTTTTGGTAATGATTGCTTCTCCAATACTGCGCGGTTCTTGTCACACCGTTTTGTTGGTGACATTTTGTTTATTCGTGCTAATGTGATATACCATAGTCTGACCGAGGGGCGGACCCCCTTTCAGAAGGTGTACAATTTGATCCTACGCAGGGATCAAACCTTCGGCCCTAGGGACTTATACCAAAGGTCGCAACCAATGAGCCAGGCTAAGCCGCGCGCGCGCGCACACACACACACACACACACACACACACACATAATGTAAACTCCAGTGAAGAGCACAAGTGTGCCATGAGCTGTACCACCCTCAATGTGTCTAACAATTTGAGTACCACATCCTTAATGTCAACTATGTCAGAGGGGATTCAAACTCTCGATTTGAGATGTCTTATACCGTGGATGTCAACTAGTTTTTATTTCTTCGTGACTCTTTACCCCCGCCCCTATGGATCGTATGGCGCGTAAATACTCCCAAGAATCGTTTGGGTAGATTCTAGCCTCAGGAGTTTCGATTCTCTCTTTAGCAAAAGTGAGGGAGATTCAGAACTTTTACGTTTCCAATCTTACTATCTAACTTCAGTCGGCCGCCAACCATGAGCGGCAACCGACCATTTCCCTCTGGATTTGATCTTCTATAAAGGTCAGTTTAAAATGGGACTGCTTCTGTCATTATGGAATATCCTTCTCTTGTTAAAGGTACTACAAATGATGGACTATACATCAAGGGAATAATAATAAATGACTGCTTAATAAATCTTAAATGTATAAATATGCAATGCTTGCACAAGGTTAATTTAATGTTGAACGTTCTAATTTTCATTTTGCAAACACTTTCTTAGAAACTCTAGTGCATAATAATTAGCATCGAATGATTTTCATATTTGGTAATATTTGCATGCAATATCGCATGGTTAGATTGATTTTGTATGTAGGTTATAACTATATAGCATAATCTCGCATCATTACTCGTGTCATTTTTATTGCTCATATTGCATGCCCTATGACTTGTAGTTTAAGGGTGCGCTTATTTCAGTTGTTGTTGTATGAAATCTCAGTTCAAAAGATTCCTTGGTAGCTCAAAATGTTCAAACATTTCTTCTCCTTCCGAATCAATCGAGACAACTATGTTCAGTTTGTCGTTGATTCCAAGATCCATCTGGTGGGCCTTGAGAATAAGATAAAAGATTGGAAAGTGAAATTTTTGTTGGGCTCTTGCGCTAATGGTTGGGGGATCGACACCATTCTGGTGGTGAAGAAAGTGAAGGCACTTTCGGGTAATCTCAGAGATCACAAGGCGCTGACCTTCGAGGGTCAGCGTCTCTCATCATTTCAATACCTTGATTTGAACGTGATAGAGCGTATGCTTCGACCCGATGGAGGCGAGACCATGGCCGAAGGGTTATGGGCGTCATCTGACACTCGAGAAGTGGCTAAAGAGAAGGCCACCGGGAAGAGGGCGACTTAGAAGAAACATTGGAGGAAAAGTGATCCTTGCTCGTTTGGGAGAGGTGAGGGTCAGTCTGCCCTCACTGGTTCGATTGAAGAACATACTGAAGGTAAACAAAATTTCCTTGTTTTAGTTGCTTGTACATATGAGTATGTGTTTATATTGTTTTGGCCTTATCTGAA